CGACGAAGAAAGCAAGACTGCTGTGCCCCCCAAGGCCAACCTGCTCAGTTTTACGAAGCTGGCGTAAATGGACGTAGTAAAAGGTGGACAGTGGCTATGGAACAAAATGGAGACTATGTTGAGAAATAGAATTCTGATCCTCAGCCCCTTCTATTTGTTGTATGATAGTTGCCAGTGCGTTTTTTTTCTTTAAGTTAAAAACGAACTTGCATTACTTTTTTACTCCCCCTCATATTTCTGTTTGAGCATTTAATCGGCGTCTTGCACTCTACGCTTCCTGGGAAACTGAGAATGTTTCCGAGATTTATAGGATCTGATGAAAAAAAAACTTAAATTGTAAAGCACATAGAAATTGTTGCTGAGCAGGAACAAATTTGCGGTATACCAATGCGATTAATTGTTAATTTAATTACACTATTCTTTCCACACACAGCCAATATTGTTTGCACACAACTGACGACTTTATGGTAAAAATATGCTTTTGTTTAAATTTAAAAAAAAGCACGCAGACATAAAAGTGGACTTTTAGTGCTGGGGAAAAAGTGAGACGGACGAAAAGAAGCAACCGAGGGAAAGTAAAGAAATTAGGACCTATCAGTAGCGTCTTTCTTCCAACCACTAACAAATTAAAGTAAACTTGAGCGCTCCATAAAGACATAACGTGACCTACCAGCACAATCACCTGCGATATTCATTCTCAATAGGGTCACATTTGGGCCCCGTAAAGTCATGCGTGAAGGATGCCGAAGTTGCATTTTATAGATATGAGTCTCCACAGCCATAGCAGAAGCTACATGTCATCTTAACGTTGAATTCTTCTAAATCTTCTATTTCAATATTTCAATATAAATTCCTCGATTCCGATAGATAATATTCTTCTCCATGGATGCATTGGCTATCGTCCGACATTGACGGACGTACTGCTATAACTATTATTATTAAATATGTCAGTCAAAATTAACTTTTACCACTTTCATTAGAGTTCTTGTAAAAAAATTGCTTTTAAACATCCTTGTCTACAACACTGTATCATTTTCGCAAAGGCACATGTCTTCCTCTTCTCTCGTGTACGAGTCTCTGCAGTGTAGCGGTTAGGCGTTCGTTGTTTCTCGCGGAAGATGTGATTTGATTCCCAGAGTGGGGAGGATTTTGGTTGAAAACCTCATTCTATCTTATTGGTTTAGTTAAGTTTAGTGAGGTACATTGATAGATATAGATACAAATGTAAACAAATAGACAGACAGACAGATAAATCGATTGATAGACAGATAGATAAACTAATAGATAGAGAAATAGATAGATAGAGAAATAGATAGATAGATAGATAGATAGATAGATAGATAGATAGATAGATAGATAGATAGATAGATAGATAGATAGATAGATA